TTTTTTTTTTTTTTAATTTAAACTATGCTTTAGGACAAAGGTGGTTATTATGTAATCAGACATTAAAATTACAATATGCATGGAAAACTGCACCAAGTCATAGAATTGACAATAATAATAATAATAATACTAATAACCACCAGAAGGGCGACGGGCGAATAACACAGAAGGGCGACGGGCGATTAACCACCAGAAGGGCAACGGGCGATTACCTACGGCGACGGGCGATTACCTCCAGCGACGGGCGACGGGTGATTACCTCTGTATCCGCGACGGGCGATCCAGCGGCGGGCTTTTTGGGCGATTAGCAAGGGAGCGAGAGAGTCGGGCTGCCTTCCTGTCGGCTCCGGTCATGTGGTCCACCAGCGGCGGCTCTGCAGGTAGCGATTGGGGAGAGGGTTCGAGGTTGCAGGGCCCGATTTCAGGTAGCGATTGGGAATTTTGGGCCCGATTTCAGGTAGCGATTGGGAATTTTGGGCCCGATTTCAGGTAGCGGCTCTGCAGGTAGCGATTGGGAATTTTGGGCCCGATTTCAGGGGGAGGGGTCGAGGGTTTGTAATCGGGGGGCGAGAGTTTGTAAACGCAGGTCGCTTTTCCTGTTGAGTTCGGCTCCCTCGTTTGCTGTCCTGCTGATTCTGGCTGTGTTTGTTTGGTGTTTTGTTGCTTGTGTGCTTTTCTGCTGTTTTGCTGGGTTGTTTGCCATGCCGAGCGTCCTTTGCTTTCATTGTCCCTTCGTTGGTCTTGGTGGTTGCACGAACAAGGGTGGTAAGGGGCTCACCAAAGCCTCCCTGCTTGTTCACCTTCGGGAGAAGCATTTCACGGGTGATGCGCGGGCTATTACAAGAGAGGCCCTTACTTCTAATTTCAATATTTTTAGTGCAGCTGAGGTCACCCTTAAGCGAATGGGTCATTGGCTTTGTGGAGTTTTTTTTTAAAATTCCTGCTCTTCGTAAGCAGTGCCGTCATAATGGGGGATCTGACTTCGTGGCGCCCCCTGATTGTGGGGATGGTATTGTCCGATTTGTTCTTTATGATATCCCCAAGCCAGAGCCTCCTTGTTCTGCTGAGCTTGTTTTTGCTCGGGGCCTTTCGCATGACCCCTCGTGTGGTTTCGATGTGGGCCTACTTGATAGCTTATTTTCTAAGGGGCTTCGCACTGTGAAATCTATACCTCTTAAGTGCCGCTTGGGGTTTTCCCGTGTTTTGATAGGCGCTCTCGACAAGGTCATTTGCAAGCCAGATGATCTCTCTTGCTGGGTTAGTTTGCTTGTTTTGCCAATTTGTATCCTCAGGACCTTTCGCCCCCGAAGTTGTCTTGAGTGCAAGTCTGGTACTAAACGTCAAAGGCAAGAAGAGAGCATTACCGCTGCTATTCGGTCATGGGGCGAACCTGGGGGACCGATGTTTCTGGTTAGGGAAACTTTGGCCGAGCCTTCTCCCTCTTTGGTTGGTGTAGGTGATGATGACTTGGATTTGGCCGAGAGTAGTCTGCGCCAGTGTAAGAGAAAGATATGTGATGGCCATTATACCGCAGCGGTTAGGGTCCTCTCTTCCTCTGGCGTTGCCCCGTATACAGGTGCCACACTTGAGGAGTTGCAGGCTAAGCACCCCTTTTCGCCTTCTCCCTCCTTGCCTCGTTTAGCTGTGAATTGTGAGGCCCTCTCAGCCTCCACCCGTGTTGTTCTTGATAGCATTCGGAGTTTCCCTCGTGGTACATCCTGTGGGCGTGATGGGCTTCGTGCACAACACTTTATTGATTGTTTGAGTGGGGCTGCTGCTGCCATTTCGGATGAGTTGATCTGCTCTATCACGCATGTGGTTAACCTCTTTCTTGGTGGGGAATGTCCAGAGGTGCTCGGTGAGTATATTGCTAGTGCCCCTCTCACTCCGCTTGTTAAACCTGGTGGTGGTATTCGACCTATTGCTGTGGGTACCATTTGGAGGCGCCTAGTCTCTAAGGTTGGTGCCCTTCTGATTGGTCCTTCTTTACGTTCTTATTTTGATGGTCTGCAATTTGGTGTTGGAGTGCCCAGCGGAGGAGAAGCTATTCTTCATGCTTTAAATCGTTTAGTAGAGGCCCGTGGAGATACAGTAGGCCTTTCCATGCTGCTGGTTGACTTCAAGAATGCTTTTAACTTGGTAGATCGTGAGGCTATGCTGTATGAGGTGCGTTCTCGCTGCCCTTCTCTCTCGCGATGGGTTGAGTTCTGCTACTCCCGCCCTGCCAGGTTGTATTATGGGGAGCACACCTTAAGATCCTGCCAAGGGGTCTAGCAGGGTGACCCCCTTGGCCCACTACTTTTCGCCTTAGCGTTACATCCTTTGGTCCGTAAGATTCAAGACACCTTTGACTTGTCTCTACAGGCTTGGTACTTGGATGATGGCACGATTGTGGGAGACACCCTGGTTGTGGGTAAGGTCCTTCAGTTGATCATGGAAGATGGTCCTCAGTTGGGTTTACATCTTAATGTTGATAAAACTGAGGTTTTATGGCCTAATGAGGATCCTCGGAGCCGGCTTGCTGGAGTCTTCCCAGACAATATTGCTCGACCTCAGCTTGGGGTCAAGGTCCTTGGTGGACCTGTTAGTGTAAGTGATGACTTCAGTTCTCAGCTTGTGATGAAGAGAGTAGCCAGAACTATTGAGCTTATGGATGCGGTTGCTAAGATTAATGATCCGCAATGTGAGTTGCTACTACTCCGTTCCTGTGCAGGTATTTCCAAGCTCTATTTCGCCATGCGCACTTGCCCCCCTCATGTTTTTACTGCAGCGCAGCATGCTTTTGATTTGGCCCTTCGCGCTAGTTTAGAGCGCATTGTTACCGCGTCTGGTCCCGGGTTTGGTGACTGGCAGTGGCGGCTTGCCACCTTGCCTTTTTCGTTTGGAGGCCTGGGAGTCTATTGTGCTGGGGACGTGGTAAATTATGCATTTCTGGCGTCCAGGCTTCAGTCTGCAGGGTTACAGGATAAACTTCTTCTTCCTTCTGGGATCGCTGATGCGGGCATTACCTTTGGTGATGCTTTGGAGGTGTTTAACAGGGTTGCAGATACTGACCTATTGAGTGCTTCTAATGAGATTGCTGCCCCCAAATTCATGAAGAAATTGGCAGATATATATTTCACTCGAGTTACCGATTCGGCGGAATCTGTATTTCCTTATCTCCTAGGCAGGTGGCCTTGTGGAAGTCGCAACAGGGTGATCACGCATCAGATTGGCTCCGCGCAGTCCCGATTTCTGGGTTAGGGCAAACGATGAATGGTAAGACCTACCGTGCTGTGCTCTGCTATCGGTTAGGTGTGCCATTATTTTCCATTTCCAGACCATGTTCGGCTTGCTCTCGGGTCTTTGACGGGGATATATTTGGCGACCATGCGGTGTCATGTGCCGGTGTTGTTGGCATTAAACATCGCCATAACCTTGTTCGCGATACTCTTTCAGATGTCTGCTTTCGCTCCGGGATCTCTGTTGGTAAGGAGGTCGATATTGGACTCCTTGATGCGCAAGATAGACCACTTCGCCCTTCTGACTTATTACTTTACTCATGGGATAGGGGGCTTGACGTTTGCGTTGATTTGACTGGTTCCTCGCCCTTGACCCAGTTCGGGATGTCTGACTTCGTTCCGGGACGTGTTGTGGTTGATGCCGCTCAGCGCAAACGTGCGAAATATGACGCCTTGTGTGCAACTAAGGGCTATGGATTTCTGCCATTCTCTTTCTCTTTATTGGGGGAGTTGCACACGGAGGCCATCGCCCTACTCAAGAGGATACAGAAGTATTCTGTATCTCAGGATGCGGGAGCACGTGCCGCTCCTCATATTTTCACTCGTATTAGCTTTTCCATTGCTAAAGGAGTGGGGGCCCAGATAGTATCTCGGCTCCCCTCCAATTTCTTGTAATCATTTTGATTTCATATAATAATTAAAAAAAAAAAATAATAATAATAATAATAATCTATTACTATATGATGTAGCGGAGCGATAAACGAAAAGAGAACAAGATGAGAAAACTCAATTTGATAAATTATTTCATACGCGTATGATGTCTTCCAAAAGGAAGAGACAATATATAAAGCCCTATGAAGGCTAAAATTTTAATTTACCAAATAAATAAATTCCATATAATATGGATTATTCAACTCCTAATTAGGAAAAGGAAATAAAGCATAATAATAAAATAGATAGGAAATAATTAACTAAACTAAAGACGGTAAACGGTCATATTTGTCCATAAATGCCATCGCGATCTCGTCTCCTATCATCCTCCCACAGTTGAGAAGCATTCGCCCTCGAATCCGAACCGATCTCGTCTCCGTCGGAGTTATCACCAAGGTAAGGACCAAATGCTTGACGTTAAAAACGTCAGAAGTCCGAATATGCAACGGTAAATGAAGACGGTAAGCATTGGGATTAATCTTCTCCAAGATCTCGACGGGCCCAATCTTACAGGCCAATCCTGCTCAATATGTTTCCGAAATTTGGCCCATGTAGCAATTTTAGGTTTGCGAAAGACGTCGTTCATCCTTGAGGTGCTGCCACCAGGCGACTGCCCGCCCTCGCAAACGAGTGCCGACGAGGCCAACCCGCTGGTCATCTGGGACGTCTTTGTATTCTAGAACGGCCTCCACCAACGCAAGCCAGTCGAGAAACTCGGCCGCGTCCAGCCCACCCGAGAACTCTGGGATATCCACACGAAACACACTTTCCCAACGCCGCTCGCCGCGCGGGTCGTCGTCTCCCCGAGGATGTCGCCTCCCCACGGATTACCCTCCTCCTCCGTAGCATCCGAATCGCCGCTGTCCTCCTCGCACGGCGAACGTCGTCTGCCACCAAATCGTGCGTGGCCGCGACCCCCTCGGCCCCCACGCTGCCCACCGCGACTGCCATCCCGATTGTTGGGCCTGTCGCGGTTCGTTTTGTCGCGTCGCATCAGCATCTGCAGAGCCTCCTGAATACCCTCCATGTCCGCCATTAGGTTCTCCATATCGCGCGCCATCAACTCGTTCTGTCGAGTCAGAGCTTCGATCGCCGCATCCCTTCTATCGTCGGCCGGATCGTTCCTTTTCGGCGGCATCTTGGATCGTGCCTGAAACCCTGGATACCAACTGATGTAGCACAACGATAAACGAAAAGGGAACAAGATGAGAAAACTCAATCTGATAAATTATTTCATAAACATCTGATGTCTTCCAAAAGGAAGAGACAATATATAGAGCCCTATGAAGGCTAAAATCCTAACTTACCAAATAAATAAATTCCAATATATAATATGGATTATTCAACTCCTAATTAGGAAAAGGGAAATAAAACATTATAATAAAATAGATAGGAAATAATTAACTAAACTAAGGACGGTAAACGGTCATATTTGTCCATAAATGGCATCGTGATCTCGTCTCCATCACTATATAACACGGTTACCTACTTACTGAATATAGTAATAAAAATTTAAATTAATTCCTTTTTAGCATTCTAATTATGGTAAATACAAAATTTA